CTCGGTGTATATAATAATCCGGCCACTCGGTGTATATAATAATCCGGCCACTCGGTGTATATAATAATCCGGCCACTCGGTGTATATAATAATCCGGCCACTCGGTGTATATAATAATCCGGCCACTCGGTGTATATAATAATCCGGCCACTCGGTGTATATAATAATCTGGCCACTCGATGTATATAATAATCCGGCCACTCGGTGTATATCGGGGTGTTCTACATGCCGGGTGGTGGTAATGTCCGGAAGGGGGAACCCGGACCGTTACCCGGGGTGATAGAGTCTCAATCATATTACATGTGTCCTGTTCAGACGTGTTGTAGGGATTTGGGATCAGTGATGGGTCTTCCTCTAAAGGCTTTCACCCCCATCCTGGTACACCGTCTATGCCGGAGCTATGGGGGGCCCCGCAAATGGTGTTTTGTTAGATTGCCCATGGAGGTCATTTAACCTAATCAGCAAGCTCAGGGTCAGAGGTCGGAGGTCGTGCAGATCTATTACAGGTCAGGAAAATCTAGGAGCTGCGAGTCCAACATTCCTGAAGTGACCATCGGATGCCGAAGTGTTTGCTGGGTGTCTCTCCTACAATAGCCAGTCGGCTCCCTAAGGGCAGGTCTGGGAAATGGTGTGATCCGGGCCCGCAGCTCCAGCGCATTCCAGACCAGACATAATGAGACGCGCAGGATTTCTCTGGTCTGGTCTGCGCTGGTGTGAACAGAGGCCAGAAATAGCATAGGGAGACATTGGGATGCATTTTGGGTCCGGAAACGGTCTAGAAATGGTCTGGATGTGGTGTGAATGGGCCCTAAGTGTTCTCTAATTTGACGATCTTCATTTATAAGCTGAAAAAGAAACAAAATTACAAAATTCTGGTCCAATATGGGACCCAAATGACGTTTTATCAAGTTGCCAGTGAGCGCAAAGCTCCATAGAGATCCATGGAAGGGAAGGCTGAGAGACCCCCCAGACCCCCAACCCTTAGCTGTATTACTGGAGGTGCGTTGGCTCTTTGGGTTGTAGATTGTGCAAATATGAGGAGAGATGGAGATGTCGCCCTCCACCCGTTATATGTCGGCATCGCCTGGGTGCTCAGTGCTGTAAATGAGGCCCGGTGTCATGAGAGGCCTGGCGAGTGATGGCTGGAGCGAGCCCACATGATGATGAGGAGGAGGGTGATGATGAGGATGATGATGAGGGTGATGATGAGGAGGAGGAGTGTAAACATATGTTGATGGGATTATTCTGGTGACCTGAACGTTAATCTGAGATTTCCCATCTCCCTGGCACTGGTCACAGAGGCGGCGGCGGACATGGGCCATCGGAGACGGACACCTCCAGGTCAGACGCAATGTGCCGTTTTCTGTCACTTTATCTCCACCAGCCGGACCTGAAGATGGAGTGTGAGCTCTGTGTACTAGAGGGGTGTGTGGAGATTTGTGGCGGCGTGTCTGGGTGCGGCGTGTTTGTGACTTTCCTATGTGATCACAGAGCTGGATATGGGCCTCGGGCTTCCTGCACCG